GTTCTACACTGCCGCCCCCCCCTCCCTGGAGTTACATGCAAAATGCGCCTGGCGTGTCTGTGTGTGTGCTTATAGTTCGTGGTGCCCCATCTCGCGTGTGACCCCATTTTTGGATTGCCGCTCGAAGTACGGGAGCGGAGAAAAACATAGACAGAACAACTCGGAGGTCGACGCGGATTTCTCGGATCGGCGCTGGACCGACCCCCCTTCCCTGGCTCGCGGAGCACATCAGGGGCGGCGCCGGAGGCGCCGCCAGGGGGGTCCAGCGCGGATCCGAGCAATCCGCGTGGACCTCCGAGTTTTTATGTCTACGTCTTTCTCCGCTCCCCTACAAAAATTTCGTCCCACCACGGAGCAACGCTTGGTAACCGACGTCCTGGGAACCGACGTCCTGGTTCCCCAACGGGCGGTGGATATGGATATATCTTGGCCCCCGGGGGCCCGAACATTTCCATATCCACCGCCTGCCGAGGTCCCCGAACATTGATCCTTTGGGCGGTGGCCATGTTTAGATTCCCGCCTCGGATTCTTGCATTGCCGCTCACAAGCTGCGCCCCGCCACGGAGCAACGCCCAACGCTCAAGCAGTGGCGAAGCGTCCTGGCGTACCTATAGGCCTACCAAACAATGTTTTGGACATGTGTTGTGGCTTCCACGAAGGGTTCGTATAACATCTCTGGCTGGGACTGTCTTGTTGTAACACATCGGGCTTATGCTATCAGAGTATGTTTTGTTATTCGAACTTTTCGAGACACGGGCCTCCGACCTCCCGACCACTTCCCCGGGACCGGTTTTTCATCCCGAGTCGTTTTTTGACGGTCCCGAGGCCCGGCGAGGGCCCCGAGAGGCCAAAAACTGAAAAACCTCCGTCTCGAATTTTTCGAGACGCCCGATGTCTGAGGTGGTAGGCCTATAGGAATGCCGGACGGTCGGTCCCTGCTCAACACGCCATGCGCGCCCTGGGCCGGGCCCTGCGCGCGGCCCCGGGGCTCGCCGAGCGGCCCCCCGCCGCGCCGGCGGCCGCCGCGCTCTCGGGAGCGCCCCGGGCCTGGCCGGCCCTCGGCGGGGGGGCGCCGAGCTGGTGGGCGGCCTCGGCCAGCATCGAGGAGGGCGAATCTGCACGAGACGCGCGAGATGATGTCAAGCAGTGGCGAAGCGTCCTGGCTCGCCTATATCCCCACCAAGCAATGTTCTAAGAACCGTTTGTGGTTTCCACGAAATGTTCTTGGAACATTGTTGGTTGAGATTGTCTTGTTTTATCACATCGGGTTTATGTTCTAAGAACATTGTTTGTGTTCTTAGAACAGCTTCGGGTTCTAATTACAAGCATTTCTTGGTAGGACTATAGGAATGCCGGGACGGTCGGTCCCTGCTCAATGATGGGCCTGTTTTCCACCACCACCACCATGAGTCGGAAATTGGAACATATTCATTACTTATACGACCACCCTGCGGGTGATAAAGGAGGTTTGGGGGGGGGAGGGGCCCAGCAATGGGCAACAGTGGCGACTGTTGTTCTGACGATGCCAGTGGAGAATGTTGCGTCGCCGCTCGCCCTTGGGAGCTTTGGTGTCGAGCTGTTTACGTCACCCTTCGCTATTGGGCGCCTTGGTACCATCCCCTTCTCCCGGGAACCTGCCCAACGGCGGCGAACGACGACGACGTTGTTTTGTTTGAGGCATCCTGAGGCCCCTCTCGTCGCCACGCAGGACGACGCACCGCCATCGAAACTCTTTTTTCTTGCTCTTTCGAGCTCGCGCCGACATCCGAGGGCACCGCTTGCCGAAACAGGGCAAACGGCTGGAAAGCGGGCGCAAGCGCGCCTCATCTCGATCAATCTCACAATCGATCTCACTATGGATCTCACTCGATCGATCTCCTCGATCCATCTCACAATCGATATCACTATCGATCTCACTATCGATCTCACTACCGATCTCACAATCGATATCTCTATCGATCTCACTATCGATCTCACTATCGATCTCACTACGGATTTCACAATCGATCTCACGATTGATCTAACTATCGATCTCACGACGGGACACCGACGGGACACCGCAGGACACCGACGGGACACCGACGGGACACCGGCGGGACAGCGGCGGGACACCGCGCGGCCCTGAACGCCGGGTCGCCAAACATTTGGTCCGGCCGCGCCTCAGCCACAGGAGACTTCCTTGTCGCCCGCTCACGCAGCTTCGCCCCGCCCGCACGCACGGCACGCAGGAACACGAAACCGAAATCGATTTCCCCGTAGAGGGGCTCTCCATTCCACTTCGATCTCACCCCCCAATTCCGACCAGTGGCGGGCTGTTTTTCAATCCCAGGACTTCTTGAGTGTCGAGGACGACGCTGGGGTGGTGTGGTGTATACTTTTTTCCCCGATGTCCCAGGGAAACAACGAAAAATGTATACACCAGGGTCCCGTATACACCAGGATCCGCTCTCCAGTGCAAATTTCAATGCAGGGCCGGAAAATGCGTCGGTGTATAGGGTTCGATTCCCTAATAAGTTGGAGGGAAGAAGGAGGTGGAAGACGAGGAGGAGGAGGACGAAGAGGAGAATGAGGAGGAGCAGGAGGTGGAGGAGGAGGAGGAGGATGAGGGCCCCCTCCCCCTTCAAGTTATGGTGGTGGTGGTGGAAATCAAGCCCATCAAAACAGGTGCCCCTACGTAGGGAAGCAGTCAATCAGTGGCGAAGCGTCCTGGCGTGCCTGTAGGCCTACCAAACAATGTTCTGACAACCTTTTCTGTGGTTTCCACGAAATGTTCTTAGAACATTTCTGGCTGGGACTGTCTTGCTTTAACACATCGGGCTACTGTTCGAAGAACATCGTTTTTCTTGGAACGGATGGGGGTTCTAAGAACATTTCGTGGTAGGCCTAGAGGAATCCTGGGACGGTCGGTCCCTGCTCAATACAGGTGCCCCTACCTAGTGGAACGACAGATGACGTAAACACAGAAGCTCGGAGATTCGCGCGGATTTCTTTTATCCGCGCTGGACCCCGTCCCTGGCGCGCGGAGCGCGCCAGGGGGCCCCAGCTCCGATCCCAGAAATCCGCGCGGACCTCCGAGTTATTATGTTGATGTCATTGTTTGTCCCCGTACTACCGCTACACTTCTCCCGCTCTCCCCTTTTCGAGTCTCCTGGGAGGCTCCCATGGCTACCGCTGGATTCGCCTCGAGATCCTGGTCAGAACGCGCCCCGGGAGAGGTCCGGGGCGTAGCGGTATCGGTACCTGTTGGTTTCCCCAACACGGTCAGCATCGTCTACAGTCGAAATCGACGGCAAGGATTGGTGTCATTCCCACCAAGGGTGCCCTTGCATCCGCGCCTCTCTGGTCCATCCTGGACTGATTTCGCTGGCCCGCCGCGCTCGAGAAAGGTTCAACACGGGCGTCCAAGGGGCTTGCGTCTTTATCGTGTATCTTTACTGTCCATTGTGACAGTCACAACTGATGGCCCAGTAGAGATGGGAACAGGTTGCAGTCACTGCAACCTATTCCCATCTCTACTGGGCCATGGCATCTCAGTCCCGCTGGCCCACACTACTCGTAGGCTTCGCGAAACCCGAAAAGAGCAGCCACACACGATGTCGGGTCTAGGCTGCACGGCCCCTCCCACCCCTTGAGAAAAGGGTCTCGGGGCCCCAGTACCCCATCTCCCAGATGGGACGACGACGACGACGACGACGACGACGACGACGACGGCGGCGGCGGCGGCGGCGGCGGCGATGACGAAACATCACCCCGCACCCACAGGGGTGGGCACTGGCACTCCCCATTACCCCACGCCCGCCGGGGGCGGGGGCCCCTCGCGCCGGGGGGGCCCCGAAGGCAGCAGCATGACGGGTGGGGGGCGGGGCCTTGAATCACATATCCCCACCTACGTAGGTGAGTAAGTCGGCCAGTGGGGCCAAAGCCACGCCAGTGGGGATAGGGATGGTTTCAGCGATGCTCACGTGGGCTTTCGGAGATCCGTGCGGATCTCCTGGATCTGCGCTGGGCCCAGGCGGCGCCTCTGGCGACGCGCCCCCTGGCGCGCCAGGAAGGGGTGGGCCCAGCTTACCAATTCGAAACATAACCCTATCCCTGTGTTTGGCATCACCCCACCTCGATGCCGATCTTAAGGATCCCCTCAGTTTCTAAGGACACACCCCTAATATTGTCCTCGCTTGTTGCTCGCCCACATTAGGGATAGGGATCAGTTCGAGGCTGCACGGTTTCCCTGGGACCGTAGGCGACCCGAGGAGGAGGAGGAGGGAGAGGAGGAGGAGGAGGAGGAGGAGGAGGAGGAGGGAGAGGAGGAGGAGGAGGAGGAGGAGGAGGAGGAGGAGGAGGAGGGAGGAGGGAGCATGATGATGATGAGGCGGAGGAGGTGGAGGAGGTGGAGGAGGAGATGGAGGAGGAGAAGGAGGAGGAGGAGGTGGAGGAGATGGAGGAGATGGAGGAGGAGGAGGAGGAGAAGGAGGAGGAGGAGGAGGAGGAGGAGGAGGAGGACGGGACGCCCAAGGCCTTCGGAGAAACCGCTGGCTACCAGCGGTGGTCTGGGCGAACCGCTCGGACCTCTTAAGAAGCTTGCGCGCTCGTGCCGAGCTGCTCTCCTCCGCAGCAGGGCCCAGGCCCTCCGCCCGGTCGCCTCGGTGACCGCCCCGCGGGCCGCCGCCTCGGGCAGCCGCCACGGGCCTCTGGCCGCGGCGGGGCGGCCCTTCGCGGCCGCCGCGGGCGCGGCGCCGCAGATGTCGGCGGCGGCCTCTCAGGTTCGGATGCACCTCCGGGGAGGTCAAACTCAGATTTTGCCCTTGTCCAAAATCCGGCTTAATCCCGCTTAATCTGGCTTAATCCCATTCTATTTGGCTGAATCCCGCTTAATCCTGCTCAATCTGGCCTAATCCCGCTTAATCCGATGCCCACTCCGGCGTAAGAGCCCCCCAATGGGGCTTAATCCTCCTTATTAATTTTTCCGACGAAGACCTCCCAGTAGTTGCCTCCTAATTCAGGCGCTGGGGTCGATCAAGGACACCCTGCAGAGGACTTGGGTTAAGTCGGGCCTGTCCCTCTACAGGAGGAGTGTTCCGGACCAGTCAAACACGAGTCCGGGGACGATGTTTCGAGTCTCGTTTGTCCTGCTTGAGCCTTTTTCTCTGTTTTTTTGTTGTTTTTTATCTTCGCCTGAGAACAGCCCGTAGGAGGCCGCGCCCGACCTAAGACTTGGGCGGCGCGTCCCGAGGGGGCGGCGCGCGAGGGGGGCCGCTGGCCGAGCAGGCGCGGGCCTCCCGAGCAGGCGGGGAGCCCTCCCGGAGGCCCTCCCCGCTCCCGAGGGGGCTTCTCCACGGGACTCGGCACCGCTCGGGCGTGTGCACTTCTCCTCGGCAGGGGCCATCGAAGAGCATCTCTGATCACATCTTCTGCGGAAGCGTGCACGCGCGGAGCCGGAACGTGCCCGGGGAAGAGACGTCCGAGCGGTGGGGAGAGGGCCCCGGGCCGTTCCGGCAGGGCCCCTCGGCCTTGTATAGGAAGCTCCCCCCGCCTGCTCAGAAGGCGGCCCCCGTCGTCGCCGCGCCCTTGCCGCGCCTGCCTCCCCAGAGGACGCAGGCCGTCCAGCTCTCCCGCTCGCAGAAGCGCAGCTTCCCCGGTGGGCGTGGGCTCCGACTCCTCCTCCGCCTCCGTGCAGTTTCGAAGGAGGGGGGCACCGTCAGCCACAGTCGGTCGCCCGCCGTCTCCTCAGCGTAGTGTTTGCTCTCGCCAGGAAGGGATGGGGTCTTGAGGGAAACGGGTCCTGGCTCCGGGGGGCCCCTCCTCCTCCTCCTCCTCTCCCTCCTCCTCCTCCTCCTCCTCCTCCTCCTCCTCCTCCTCCTCCTCCTCCTCCTCCTCCTCCTCCTCCTCCCCAGCTCTTCACCCGTGGTTGGACGGTCACGGCGCCCGCGGAGGGCCCCCGCGGAGGCCAAGCGGCGAACGGCAACCCAGGACCACCTGCCTCCAGGGCCCGTGCTTCCTGCCACCTCCTCGTCCTTGTTCTTCTGGACTGGTCTCCTCCGGGACCCGTTTCCTACATCCTTCTCGTTCGCCATACTTGCAAGTTTGGCCTGTCCCTCTACAGGAGGAATTCACACATAGACCAAACAATCGTATTGGGACGTGTTTGTTGATTGTCTCTGACTGGTGTTGGTTACTTGTTGACTACTGTTTATTTTTCTTTTGAAAATTGCCTGTAGGAGGACACGCCCGACCTAATCATACCTGTTGCCAGGCTCAGGCCGCCGCGCTTCTCTGACTCAGGGCAAGATGCCTAGGCGCATGCCTTGCAGGGATTGGAATCGTTGGTCCTGGACATACCCGGACCCGGGGTCGGCCTGGGTGAAAAGGGCCGTCCGCTGGATTGGGCGCTTGCCACTGCGCCCGATCAGCCTGCCGCGTGCGCTCGAGATGCAAGACAGCATGGAAATAACATTGAGCATAACTTGTTTGGTGTCCCCCAGTGGATCATTTGTCATGGAACGACAGATTCTAGACGCTTCGCCCAACCCCACCAGCCCATCCAGAAGCGTTGCCCACGGAAGTTGCCCAGATCAGGGATGTGGAGGGGCCTGCACTGGAATGAAGGTCTGGGAAAGCCGTCATACCCAAAAAGGGGGAGGATGGAGGAGGAGGAGGAGGAGGAGGAGGAGGAGGAGGAGGAGGAGGAGGAGGAGGAGGAGGAGGAGGGGGAGGGGGAGGGGGAGGGGGAGGAGGGAGGAGGGAGGAGGAGGATGAGGAGGAAGGCGAGCAGAAAGGCCAGAGGCCCCTTGGATGCCTCTCGGAGTTTCTTCGGAGTTTTTTTTGTTTCAAATATTCTTGGGGCCTCTTGGAGATCTCAGGGACCTCTTGGAGCGTCTTGGGTGCCTCGGGGAAGCCTCTCAGAGCCTCTTGGGGGTCTCTCGAGAGCCTCTCGGGGACCCCTCGGGGGCCTCTTGAGGGCCATCCTGGAGGAGTTCGATCAAAGCAGGGGAGTCCTGAATTAGGCCCTCCCCCCCTTTGCAGTTCCTATAATCGCCTCTTGGACCCCTCTCGGAGCGCTCTTGCGGCGCTTTTTGGGTGCTCCTGGGGCCGTCTTTGAACCTTCTTTGGCTCCTCGTGGGTTGGCTGGACCTCAGGTTAGGGCGTCTCAACGCATAGATTGGCGAGGATGTGCGAGGCGACGAGCCAAGAGTTTCAAGGACGTCTCAGGCGAGGCGAGCCAGACCACCTCAGGTCAGGGCATCTCTGAGTCCAGAGGCGCGAAGATGTCTATGGCGAAACGGGCTGGATCACAGCCCAGAGTCGGGAGGATGTCTCAGGCGAAGTTGTCCGGACCACCTCACGCGCAGCATCTTCGAGCCCAGAGTTGGGAGGATGTCTCGAGCGAAACTGGTCGGACCACCTCTCGCGCAGCATCTTTGAGCCCTTGCGAGGACGTGTCAGAGCAAAATTGGCTGGAACACCTCATGTCAGGGCGTCTCGGTGCATATATTGGAAAGAGCGTGTTCTACCGCTGCTGGCGGAAAACCGGGGGGGGGTCACTACCGGTTGCAACCCCTCCCCTCCCCCCCCTCCGGAAAACCGGGGGGGGTCACTACTGGTTCGAACCCCTCCCCCCCCCCCTTGTTCATAATGAAAAATGGGGGGGTTCACTACTGGTTCGAACCCCCTCCCCTCGAACTCGAAAACCGGGGGGGGTCACTACCGGTTCGAACCCCCCCCATATATTGGCGATGATGTGTGAGGCGACGAGCCAAGAGTTTCAAGGATGTCTCAGGCGAGACGAGCCAGACCACCTCAGGTCAGGGCATCACTGAGTCCAGAGGTGCGAAGATGTCTATGGCGAAACGGGCTGGATCACAGCCCAGAGTCGGGAGGATGTCTCAGGCGAAGTTGTCCGGACCACCTCACGCGCAGCATCTTCGAGCCCAGAGTTGGGAGGATGTCTCAAGCGAAATTGGTCGGACCACCTCTCGCGCAGCATCTCTGATCCAAAATGTGTGAAGACGTCAGGCGAAACCGGCCGGACCACCTGCTGCGCGGCATCTCGGAGCCCAGAGTTGCTAGTATATCTCAAACAAAATTGGCACGACCACCTCAGGACAGGGTATCTCTGAGCCCAGAGCTGCGAGGATGTCTCAGGCGCGACGGGCAGGACCACCTCAGGTCGCGGTATCTCTGAGGCCAGAGTTGCAAGGATTTCTCACGCGAAATGGGCCAAACCTCCTCTGGTCAGGGCATTTTTGAACCCAGAAGTGCAATGATGTCTCGGGGTAAACGGCCCAGACCAAATCAGGTCACGGCATCTAGGAGCTTAGAGTTGCAAGGACGCGTCAGGCGAAAGGGCCAATTGCGAGGATGTCTCAGGCGAAAGGGTTGGACCACTTGAGGTAACGGCATAGGATCCCAGAGTTGCGAGTGTTTTAGACGAAACGGGCTGGACATTCCTCAGGTCATGGCATCTGGGAGGTCAGAATTGCGAGGAGGTTTCACGCGAAAGGGGCCAGGCGATCTCTCGCGCGGCATCCGCGAGCCCCGATATGCCGCGCAACAGGTGGTCCTGACAGTTTCGCCTGAGACATCCTCGCAACTCGCTTTGGGCCATTTTCGCCTGAGTCATCATCGCAACTCTGGGCTCAGATGTGCCCTGACCTGTGGTGGTCTTCGACTCACCCCACACATCCTTGCAACTCAGGACTGTTCGTTGTTTTGGTGTTGCTTTTTGTTTGGCAGGCGTCGAAGTAATCTGCGCATCCCCTCTGTAAGCTGACGACGGTTGGCACTCCCGCTGGGGTGCAGCCGGCGCCCGCGCTGCAGGGCAGCCGACGCGCTGCCGCGGCAACGGCGAGCGGAAATCGGCGCCGCCGCTGTCCAGGCGATGGCCAAGACGGCGGCCAGCGCGCGCAAGGAGCCGGCAGAGCATTGAGGGGCATTCCCTGATTTTGTCGTTGCGCCATTGTAGAATTCCCTTGGTCGAGTCCTTGGCGGCGGCGGCGTTGACGACGGCGGCGACGACGAAGAGCACCGTGGCAGCAGCGACGGTGAAGGCGATGCCGACTACGGTGCGACGAATGCGGCGACAGCGACGAGTACAGTTACGACGCGACAGCGACGACGGCGACGGTAGCGGGGACGACGGGGGGCGACCACAACGACGGGGACCACGGCAGCGGCGGCGGCGGCGACCACGATGGCGATGGCGACGACGACGGCGACGACGATCACCACAGCCGCGGCGGCGACGGGGGCGACGTCGATTCCCTATGTAGACCCTTTGTCAACCCTGCGCTGGATCCAGCGACGGGAGGGGAGGGCAAGGGGAAGAGAAGGTCGCGGGGAGGACGGGGGCGAGGTAAGGACGAGAGGAAGGACCACACTTCGACGACGACGCCATCATCGGAAGCGGCGACGGCGACGGCGGCGACGACGAGCAAGATGACAGCAGCGCGTGCGGCGACGATGTCAAAGACGACGACGACGCCGACAATAACGCCGGCGGCTTTGGCGGCGCCGGCGACGACGACAACGAGCGACCACGCCAAGGACAATCGCCACGACGACGGCGGCGAGAGTGGCGCCGGCGGCGACGGCGACGACGAGGACTGCAGTGTCCTCGGCAGCGGTTGTTGCGGCGGCCGCGACGACGTCTGTTTCGGCGGTGGCGTCGACGAGGACAGAGGTGATGATGACGACGACGAAGGCGACGACGACGGAAACGACGACGACGGTTAGGATGCCAACGACGACGAAAAAGACGACGACGACGACGACGATGGAGACGAGGAAGCACCTCCAGCGCGGCAGCTGGGAGCCCACAGTTGCGAAGATGTGCAAGGCGAAACGGAATTTCTGAACCCAGGGTTGGGAGGATGTCCCGGGGGGAATTGGCCAAACCACCTCACACGCGGCACCCTGGAGCTCAGAGCGGCGAGGGAGGTCGCAGCCAGAACAGGCTGGACCACGTCAGGTTTCCAAGCCCAGAGTCACGAGGATGTCCCCGGAAGCGCGAGGATATCTCAGAACTGGACCACCTCGAGTGCATCATCTTCGAACCCAAGTGTTGCCAGGATGTTTAGGGCGCAATTGGCTGGACAACGTCTTCGCGCGGCATCCGTGAACTCCGAATGACGCGGATGTTTCAGGCAAAATTGGCTGGACCACCTCAGGTCCGGTCACTTCGGAACCCCAGCGAGGATGTCCCAGGCAAAATGGGCCGGCCCACCTCAGGTCACGGCATCTCGGAGCCCAGAGTTGCAAGAATGTCTCAGGCGAGACAGGTTGGGCATTTTCAGATCAGGGCATCTCTGAGCGCAGAGTTGCGAAGATATTTCTGTGGCGAAGAGGGCCAGACCACCCTGCGCGCGGCATCTCGAAACCTTCAGTTTCGAGGATATTCCAGGCGAAATTGGCCAGACGACCTCGCGCGCAGCATCGTTGGGCACAGCGTTGCGAGGATGTTTCAGGCGAAATTGGCATGACCACCCCAGGTCTGAGCATCTCTGAGTTTAGTGTTGCGAGGATGCCTCCGGCGAAAGGGGCTGGACCACTCAGGTCACGGCGTGTCGGAGCCCAAAACTGGGAGGACGCCGAGCGAGCTCGAGTCAAACGCACTGGCGCCAGGCGGCGTAGACTTTCCAC